GTACTCTTCAACACCAGAAGAAGCCAACCTCCGACAACTTAGAACAGAGGAACGATCTGAGAAAGCGTTAAGAGTACCTCTCCCCAGGCGATGATGAGTCTGAACCAAACTCGAAGCAGAAGCAAATGTGAAAGCAGCCATTCTCCTGAACACTCTCGCCATCTCAGCTTCGGTCCGAAGACGGAATGAGAAATCAGGCGGATTGCGATTCGGCTTCTTCTACAAGCCCTCGATGGAAGCGGCGGTCACAGCGAAAATGGAGAGAAGCAGATTCTTCCTCGCTTTTTTTTTTCGGTTATTACATTTACATGCGTCTGAAAAGGGAATAGTAGGAAATTGTAAAATTGGTGAGCAGTGCGTTAAAGCAGATTAGGCAAAGTTATTTTGATGATAGGATAACTCTACTCTTTGTGCAGAAGCCCACCAAAAAGAGATAAACTATGTATTAGCTCTGTCCAATTTTAGACAAAAACATCATCCACAAGAGTCCAAGGACTCAGCTTATGACCAATTTACCATAACTGTTTTCAATGTTCCATGCATTGCAAAGGATGGCACGTTATACGTACAGCCGAGCCGATATAAAAATATCCAGAGACCCACAAACTAAGAGTTCTATCAATGTGGTTCTGATGAAAATTCAGAACAGCTAAACAAGCCTAAATTCAGAACAGAAGAACTCACCTCGTTGTCACAAGACTTCCATGACCGAAAGCAACCTCCGCATTACAGCTCACCGAGAAAGAAGAACCAAAAAACTTTTCTCCAATCTCCCGTCCGATAACATACCAACAACCATTTCCACGGTTGAAACATCTGATGAAAAACCGCAGCTTCTCATTTCCCGAATAAGCTCGATAACAGTTGCTACATGGCCACCTTTGAGATGACCTCGGATCAGTACATTATACGTACAATCATTTGGCATACAACCAATCTTTTTCATATTCTTAAACAGCTTGTCGGCTTCACTGAGCAAACTTTTTCTACAAAATCCAGTAATCATTGTATTGTACGTGTTTACGTTCGGTTCAATCCCTTTATCAGAAAGTTTATTAAACAATCCAAGTGCCTCATCAACCTTGTCGCCCTTGCACAAACCATTCATCATAACACTATGGACAAAGATATCGAGGTCAATCCCACTCGTTTCCAACTGGCAATACAATCCAAGCGCCTCGTCCAGTTTTCCATTCTTACAAAGACCATCAAGCACTACTGTGCAAGTTACAAGATCAGGATCTACACCTTGTCTCTGCATCTCTAAAAAGAGTTTATGGGCGACATTGACTTTGCCCGCTCGAAAAAAACCTTGTATGAGAGCGGTGTAAGTACATGTATCACTGACCAACCCTCTTCGAGACATCTCATGAAAGAGCTTCATACCCTCATCCACCTTATTAGACTTGCAGTAACCATTTATAAGACAACTAAAAGTCACTGTATTCGGATAGCATCCTCTGTTGACTATAAAATCGAACAACTGTTTCACCTCGTCAAGACGATTCTGCATGCACAACCCATCGATCAATGAAGTGTAAGTAATAGTATCTGGAACTAAACCTCTTCGAATCATCTCTTCGCACAGTTCTTTAGCCTCCAAAAACTTTCCTTCTTTAACGAACGCATCGATCAATCCATTGAAAGTGACAACATCTGGGGTGATTTTTCTTTTGGCCATATCATTCAACAATCGGACAACATCATTCCATCTGTCGAAAACACAAAGGCCGTTTATCAAACAACTGTAGGTGACAACATTTGGAGCAATCCCTTTGCTATCCATCTTATCGAAAAGGCTCAATGCATCATCTATATGTCCACCTTTGCAAAGACCATCAATTATCATACTGTAAATTCTGACATTTACCTCAATGTTCCTCTCCTCCATCTTCATGAGCAGATTCAATGCCAAAGCACAATCACCCGACTTACAAATCCCATTGACAACAGTGCCATAAGTAACTACATCGGGTCGACACCCCAACTTTAACATCCGATCAACTAAACTCACAGCTACAGAAACTCTCCCCTCTCGACAAAGTCCGTTGACCAAAGTGGTGTATGTTACGACATCAGGTTTATATCCCTCTTTTACCATTTGGTCAACCCAACTTAACGCCACAGAAAGCTTCTTTTGGATACAAAATCCATTGATCAGGGTAGTAAACGTGATAACATGAGGCTCGTAACCCTTTTTTATGATTTTCCCCAAAACCGAAAGGCCCAAAACCACTTGACCTGAGCGGCAGAATGCGTTGATGAGAATACTCAACGTGTAGTCGTTATGTGAGACCCGGAGCAATTCCATTCTCTTGCAGAGAGAAATCACAACATCATACTGTTTCATTTTGGCGATTGAAGTTAGTAATTTATTAAAATCAACGATGGAGGGTAAGGGGTGAGACCGAACCATGTGGTCGAACAAAGCAACAGCCTCACCGACATTACAATCATGAAACCCCAATCTGAGTCTGTCTCTGTACTCTTCAACACCAGAAGAAGCCAACCTCCGACAACTTAGAACAGAGGAACGATCTGAGAAAGTGTTCAGAGTACCTCTCCCCTTGCGATGATGAGTCTGAACCAAGCTCGAAGCAGAAGCCGATGTGAAAGCACCCATTCTCCGGACCATTCTCGCCATCTCAGCTTCGATCCGAAGACGGGATGAGAAATCAGGCAGCAGATTGCGATTCGGCTTCTTCTATAAGCCCTCGACGGAAGCGGCGGTCACAGCGAAAATGGAGATAAGCAGATTCTTCCTCGTTTTTTTTTTTCGGTCATCTGGAAAGGGAAATCGTAGGAAATTTGTAAAATTCGTGAGCAGTGTGTTATACCCAAATATCAATGGGGCAAACAACCAGATAACAACAACAATGAATCCTAAAAATGTATAATTTTTATAAAACTAAAATTAAACAAATCTAACTTAATAAAAATACCCAAAAATCAAGTATAAAAAAATCTTTTAAAAAAACAATATTTGTTTGTTAATGAGAGTCGACTCCTTATAAAACTCAAATCAATATAAAAAGTGAAGTATATATAATTTTGG